CTCTGCACCCCTTCACCCTCACGGATGAGCACGGAGCTGATAGCCGACGTGCTCACCCCTAAGTATAAGAAGAGGGTTTCACCGGCCTTGGGCTTGGAGAGCACTGGTGGGGACGAAAGGTACCTCTTCAGCTCTTCAAATGCTTCCTGGAACTCCGTCGTCCACTTGAAGTTGTTTGCTTTGCGCATGATCTGGAAGAAAGGGAGCGACCTCTCGGCTGATCTGGAGAGGAAGCGGCTCAGGGCCGCCAGCCGCCCCGTTAGTCGTTGTACCTCTTTGACGTTGCGGGGCGGCTCCATGTTGATGATAGCCTGTATCTTCTCCGGGTTTATCTCAATGCCTCCCCGGCTGACCATGTAGTCGAGGAACTTGCCACCCTGGACGCCAAAGGCGCACTTCTTGGGGTTGAGGCTGAGTTTGAACTCCTTCATGATTTCAAAAATTTCCCGGAGGTCGTCAGCATGCGTGGTGGCTCGCTTGCTCTTGACAATCATGTCATCGACATATGCCTCCATCGTCCGGCCGAGGACTGCTCTGAAGATCTTAGCCACCATCCTGGTATAGGTGGCGCCGGAGTTTTTGAGCCCGAAGGCCATTATGAGGTAGCAAAAAATTCCCTCCGGGGTCATGAAGGCCATCTTCTCAGCATCATCTTCGTGCATGAAAATCTGGTGGTACCCTCTGAAGGCATCGAGGAACGACATCAACTCGCATCCCGCCGTCTCGTCCACCAATTGATCAATGTTGGGGAGAGGGAACGGGTCCATGGGGCACACCTTGTTCAGGTCAGTGTAATCAACACACATTCTGAATGTCGGCGGTTTTTTGGCGAGGACGACGTTGGCTAGCCACGTCGGGTACTTCACCTCTTTGATGTGGTTGATTGAGAGGAGCATGTTGACCTCCCCTTTGACGAAGTCCCGCCTGTCGGTGGATAAGTAACGTCGCTTCTGCTTGACAGGCGCGGAGGCTGGATCGACGGTCAGCCGGTGGGTGATCACCTTCCGCCTGATGCTTGGCATGTCATCCGGGCCCCATGCGAAGATAACGGTGTATGACCGTAGGACGAGGAGGATGGCGTCCCGCTGGTCCTGCGGGAGTTGCTTCCCGATTTTGAGGACCCGCTCCGGTCAGGAGGTATCCAGGGGGACCTCCTCGACCTCTTCGGCCGGTTCAGCATGCGGTGTTTCCTCGTCCTTGGCAACGGTTGTCGTGATGGTGTCTATTCTCTGCCCTTCCCTCTCGGCCGGCCTCGTTAGCTTGAGGTAGCATGTCCTGGCTATCCTTTGGTTTCCTCTGGCGTAGCTGATGCCGCCGTTGGTGGGGAACTTCAGGCACAAGTGTTTCATGGAGATGATGGCCTCCAGGTCCTCCAGTGCTGGCCGCCCCCAAATCAGGTTGTGGGCGCACTGAAGGTTGACCACCATGAACTCCATGTCAATTTTGGCGCGGTGGGAGCCGTCGCCGACCTCCACGGGGAGGACTATCGTGCCTTCGGCGTCGATAGAGTCCCCGGTGAAGCCGGACAACGGTGTCTTGATCGGCTTCAGCAGAGCCCTGTCCAGTTTCAGCTGCTTGAAGGTGTTCAGGTACATCACGTTGACGGAGCTCCCCGTATCGATGTAAGTGCGGTGGATGATGGAGTCACCGATCTCACACCGGATGACGAGGGCGTCCCTGTGTGATTCCGTACCCGGAGGCAGATCCTTGTCAGTGAAGGTGATCGCCACCGTTCACTGCTTCTTCGGCTGGGGGGACGTGGGACACCTCCCCAATGTAAAGGGATCGGGTCCATTTCTTCCTCTGGGTGACGGAGTCCCCCCCCCCCCCCGGTATTCCCACCTACGATGAGGTGAATATGGTTCTTCTTTGGCAGAGGCTCCTCAAAATCTTCGTCGTCGCTGAGCCTACCGATCTCCCGCTTCTTCGTAGAGGGTTCGCCCCCAGGTTTGCCAGTGTTTACCCACGTATTTTTGCGCGGGCCACCTTTAACAAATTGGGAGAGTTCCCCCTGACGAATAAGGCGCTCAATGGCTTTCTTCAGTGTGATGCAGTCGTTGGTGTTGTGTGAGGAGTTCTTGTGAAATCGGCAGTATGTGTCGCCTTGCTGAATGGCAAGGACCTCCTCCGCCGGCCGAGGAGCTTGTTCAATGAGGCCATGCTTCTCGGCATAGTCGAGGATGGTGCTGACCGGGTGGGTGAGGGGGACCCCCGGCCATTCCAACCTCGGCCGCCAATGGCGGTCTTTCTTGCTTTGTCCACCAGAGCCGTGACGGCCCTGGGCACCCTGGCCGGTCGGGGATGCTCCCTGGGCCGGCGAAGGATTTGTCTTCTTGGAGGGATGGCCTCCGTCTTTTTTGTGGTTGTGGAGCTCGTCAGCATCAGCGTACAAGCTCCCGCGCTGAAGCGCTTTTGCATATGACCTCGGAGGGTCGGTGATGAGGCTCCTGGCATACGGGGAGCTGCGGAGGGCTCCCTGGTATAGGACGAGGAGGGTGCACTCATCGGCCCCCTCGACCTCTTCGGTCTCCCTCGTCCATCGATCAATGAATGACCGAAGGGGTTCGTCATGTTGCTGCTTGACGGAGAGGAGATGGGTGAAATACTTCTTCACACGCTTCCTCCCAGCAAAGTGGGTGAGGAAGCACTGGGCAAGGTCCTGCCATGAGTCAATACTTCCTTCGGGAAGCACGTTGAACCACTCGTACGCCGGCCCCTCAAGAGTGGAGAGGAACCAATGGCAGAGATATTCATCCGACGCGTTCACCATCAGCATGTTGTTCTGATAGCGGCTGAAATGCTCCTGGATGTCTGATCGGCCGTCATAGGACTTGATGGCGTTTCCCCTGTACTTCTCCGGGATGGGGGCCGAGAGCACCCCGTTAGTGAAAGGGGTCCTGGTCCTGACTTGGATGACGGGGTCACCTCGTCCTTTAGCCAACTCCCTCTCAAGGGCGCTGACCTTGTTCATGAGAGCGTTGAGGCCAGGATCGTTGGAGGCACCGGCCGTGGGGATGTTTGCCGATTGCCTGGCCTCCAGCTGGGCGATGACCTCGTCCCGAGGATCCCTAGCGGCTGCAGCGGCGCCCTGCTGGTTCTTCATGCGCTCGTCGTGGGCCGCGTTGATCTGGTGGCGTACGTCGTCCTCGTGCAACTTTCCCTTGCCCTTGTCCAGGCGGGGCTGGTCCGCTGTCCGGGACACAGACCCCAAGCTTTCTCTCGGCGAGCCAGAACGACGCTCACCAGTCCGCCCTGCCATCCTCTCCGAAACCGGACGACGGCGCGTGTCACCTAGCCTATTGAAGGCGGAGGCTTTTCCACGCGCTGGGGTCTGCCCAGGCTGAAGAGGGGAAGTGGGGTTGGAGTGGGACGACGCCGTGTCTTGGGCAATCACCCCCTCATCGTTGCCTAACCTGGTGGCCAACGGTTGGGGCTGAGGAGGTGGGGTGACGTTCCCCCCAGTCCTTGGCAAAAGTGCGCTGAGGATGGTGGGGTTCTGGGCCAAGCTGGCGATGATGACCGACAATGCGGCCTGAACCTATGGATCAACAGATGGAGAAGTCGCGGCCATAGGTTGGGCCGGGGCATGGTCTGTCTTCTCTGCTCGTTTCTTGTCCAGGCCGATGCGGGCATCAGGGGCGCCGCCGTTGAGCTGGTTGCGCAGGTCCGTCGTGAGGTTGATGGCCTCCTGGAAGACATCCCCTCCTCCGACCTGCTCGGCTGTGGCGTCCTCCTCACGCTCCCTGGTTTCCTGATCCTCAGGGATGGCCTTGCTGACGAGGTTGCGGTTGGACTTGGTTCTTCCCATGATCAGTGGTTAGCTGTGCTTGGTAGCGACGAAGGGTGCTAACTTGATTGTTCTAGCTCTCAATGAAAGCACTGAATGATAGAGTATATATCTAGAGAGAAGTGAGAGCTAGAGAGAGAAGTGCAAGTAAATGCTTCAATAGAATGATTTTGTAACCCCAACAACTACTCCCAGAGGTAGTATTTATAGGGAAAATACGGGCCGGACTCCCAAGTCTTGGTCTTGGGAGGCCCATTTACAACTGGACCGCTATTGGGCCGAATACAATGAGTGCACAAATGATTAAGTGTAAAATCCTATCCTGGGGGCTGCCTGTAGCCGAGGAGGGCGCGGCCGACGAGGGCACGGCCGACGAGCACCCGGCCGACGAGGTCACCCGGTTCTCCTTGGCTCCTGAACCGTATTCTAAGTGGACTGCTTCCTGGCCGACGGAGGTCACCTGGCTGACGGAGGTCACCTGGCCGACGAGGGTCCCACCAGGTGATCGTGGTACCTTATGTCCTTCCGAGTATGTGGGCCACGGGGTCCAGGCCCATATACTCCATCATATATATCTATCATTATGCTAATATAGAGATTATAAACATGTTTTTATATGTATGTTCTCATACTATCCTAATTTAAATTGTGTTATTAATTTTAAATCTAACGCACTTAAGTGTCATATTACTTTAAAATATTTCAATTCAATCACACCTTTGGATTTTCTGAATTAAATAGAAAAGTAATAAAAGTAAACAGCTAATATCAAAACATATTAATTCTAGATATTGAGTTATTACAAGAGTTGGTTCATTAATCGGGATTCATTGCAATAGTGAATGAAGAAAACAATCTCAAAGTACTTGCCAGATAAATGTGTTTTGTTTGAAAAGTAAAGAAACCATACTTAGAAGAATATTAGAAGATGTAAGCTATTAAACATTTCACCATATTCCAAAATTAAAATGTATAAGTGCAAGAGGGGTGGGTTCACCAATTTAAAAAGAAAGGTGCTTATAAAACATGATGTTTAAATGTTTTTAATTTAAAAAATAAATTATAAAGAACCATAAGTAGAATAGATGATGAAAAGTATTAAAATTCATCATATTTCAAAATTTAAAAGTTTAAATTCATCAGTTTAGTTAAAGATATTTCACATTACCTTAATGTCAATAAAACTCAAAAGGAAAATTGAAAAGAAGGGGAATAGAGATTTGTCAATTTTTTGGATGAAAGGTAATTGTATTAACACCCAAAAATAACATTTTACAATGTGTCAAGACCAAACTCAAGTCCATCTAAGCTAGAAACTATCTAGCTTAAACAAAACCTATCGGAAAAGCAATGGGACAGACCCCATCTCAAAAAAAAAAAAAAAAAAAAAAAAAATCAAACGCAGAAAGTCACATCAACACATAAAGTCTAACATTATTAATTAATAAATTAATTAATAACGCTCATTTAGGTGCAATTTTGAATCTAGCAAGTGTCTCCTCCCAGCTCAATCCCGGAATTCTCCTGATCATTCCCCTTCTATCCACCTTAGCATTTTTCCTTATTTTAAAAATCTTCCCATCCCGATAAACTTCCACTACCTCATTACTATCTAGCTGATCCAGATCCTCCTCCTCTACTTCATCAGGAACCTCATCTGAATATTCGTCTGAGCTCTCCATATTCGGCGTGACAACTGGAACTACAACTGGAACTGGGGCAGCCGTTGCATCTTGGGAAGCTTGGGCAGCCTCGGTCAAAGCCTCTTGGGTATGCTCTTTTACAATCTCAGCAGGAGGAATATCTTCAGGAACGGAGACTTCACCCCCTGCCTCAAACTCATTGGGTGCCGTGTCCTTGGTCTCACTTTCAACCACACTAATCTCATTTGTTTTCTTCACTTCTTTCTCAAGTAGCTTTTTTTCCATTTCTTCCTTCTCATAAATCTCTATGCAAGAAAAGGGGTTGTGCCCATATTTTTTGCAATGAAAACAAAAATTTGGAAATGTTTCATAAACCACCGATTGATTGATTACCTTTCGGGAAGGCAGTCGGATAAGAAATGAAAGCATGGGCGGTTTCGACGCATCAACTTCAATAAGCACTCTAGCAAAATTATGATTGCTCCTTTCTTGGGTGACCAAATCCGTAGTTAGTGACACCCCAACCATAGAGGCTACCTCACTCATGGCTTCTTTATTCCAAAGTTTCATTGGTAGGCGTGGGAATTTGACCCAAATCGGCACTTTAAGGAACTCTTCATCATCAAATGTGAAGTCCTCCGACAGAACCTTCAACATAAGTAGCTTGCCAAATATGACATAGGGTCCCTCTTTTAACACTTTCAATCTGTCAGCTTCAGTTTGGAATTTAAAAATCACCCAACCCTTATCATGTCTCTTGATTTGGCAGATTACTCCCCACTTAGATTTCAGTTCATATATAGCTTTTAGACCAGGGAATCGACCTGTGAAGTAACCAACAAGACAATATCCCCACATCTCAACCATGGATGGCAATACCCTATCAGAAAAGTCCAAGGAATTACCTTTAGGAGGAACGTAAGTCAGTTTAATCCCATGAGATGGGGCTCGGTTGTTCTTAAAGAGTGTAGTCCACGGTTTGCTCACTTCAATCTGTTTTGCATCATCATGAGCCTCATTAACTGCTTCAGTTAGTTTCCCAGCAATTTTGGAGCCCAATACAACCGAGCCAGGCTCAGTTCTAGCAGGAGCAGCAGGTTGGATCATCCCAGTAGCTGTTTCTAGTTGCTGCGTAGTCACAATTACAGAGGAGTCTGCATGTTTCTTTTGCTCAAGCCCTCGCTGGCCAATGACCTGTTTGTTCCCAGGTTTAGGAGTACCCTCCAAAACAGTTGCAGAAGCAGGACTTTTCCCGTCAAAGCCACTCCCAGGACCTCTAGGACTCCCCTGTGTGAGCTTCCCAGCCTTCCCAGCTTGTAGGAGAGGGAAATCATCATCCAGAGCTTCCAAGACGTTGAATCCCGCTGCTACTCTCGACCTGGTGTTAACAGAAGGAGCATCGACACTTTTCCCCTGTTTTTTTCCGGCCATAACAGTCCGCAGAGGGTTTCCCCAAAAACGCAGACAGCAAAGCTTCGTACAAGAAGATAAAATGAATCACAGAACGAAGCACAACACTGGCTCAGGACAGTATTCAGCAGCCTCAGAAGTCCCTCGGAACCACTACCCAAGCTTCAAATCAGAGAACCAAGACCGGAATCACCATTCGCATGAATAGTAAATCCCTAACTTCAGAGCGTTCCTCCCTTTGGATAACCTCAAATACAGTCTTCGAATCCCAAATCCAAGGTCAGGTATGAATAGAGATTTGTCAAAAATCTAAAGGAAGTTTTTAAAGGAGGAGAGACAAATTGAACTCTCAACCCTTTCCAAAAATCATCATCTCCTTAGCTGAGAATTTGAACTCTCACCCTTTCCAATGGCATGACAACCCTCTAGACACCTGTCTGATCGCCTTTGCACGAGCAGGATGGCTCAGGCCAGGCATCCGGTGAACCTTCGGGTAGCGAATGGTCTACTCATGATGGAGGAGCATTGGGAGACCTCACCCACCTCACCCGAACAATGCTCACACGGACCCGAAGGTTATGAGAATGAGAGCACTGGTCAGGACCCCAAAAACATGGCTGCCCAGACTAAAGTGGAATGGAGCATGCCGTTTGCCGAGACAAGCCATACACATCTCACCCCAATCCAATGGATGGGTCCTTTAATTTGATGAACACCACGAGGAATCCGAGATGCCACACATTTCAGCCCGGAACATATCGGCAGAAGGTTGGTCGACACAAGATCAAGAGGGTGGGTGGGATCTCTCGCTTCACAGGCCACAAATGGGCAGACAATCAAGGCCCCAGCTTCCCGAGCCAATCGATAGGCAATCCAGGGAGGGTCAAACGGCTCACCATCACCAGACAGGCTAGGGCACACAGGACGATCAATAGAGCGGCGTCGCTAGACACACTGTCTGATATGATGCAAGGGAGCAAACCCCATTATCAAACCAAAACCGAAGATCCCAAAACATGGATGGGATGAACGGTCGGATCGTCAAAATGCCCCAAGGGGATGCACACGTGCGACCGGAGGGAGCCAGACAGGACAACCAGATCCATCCGGCTCCTACCGCCCGAGACAACGCAGAGGCGGCATTGCAAAGGCATGTGGACGATCTCACCTCACAAGTTTCTAGAGGGCCAACCCCGTAAAGACCATATCTCACATCTCCTTTAATTTCTCAGCAAGGATAATGGTCACGGAGAGCCCCCGGGATTGCAGAACTCTCGCTAACCTCACATAGAATGGGGTCAAGGACCCGAGGGCCAATGTCCTCTTGTCGCCAAAGGGGCCTGATTCCATATGCTGGTTATTGTTCAGCACCCTCAAGGGCCCAACACCGGAGTGGTTTGGCCAGTAAAGGCCAAGAATAATCAACAACACAGACAAAATGTCCCACCTATTCCTGGTACACTTCGCCTCAAGCTCCATGCAGAAGGGGCGCTATAGCTATCTCACCAACGTCCGCAAAGGAGAGAAGGAACCACTCACTATATTCCTCACCCGATAGAGGGATGAAAACTCTGAAGGGGGAGCAGCTGACCGAGAGCACAAACATCTTCCTTTTCATCAATGCCCTTCGCATGAGAGAATTTTACTGGGCCATGAAGATGGACCCAAAAACGAGTTTCATGGATATACAGGAAAAATTAAGGTAAACTTCGTAACATTAATCATACAACAGGAGGAAGATGAACCAGAAAGGCAATTGCGGGGGGGGGGGGGGGGGGTCTTGCTCTCAGCAGGACACAAACTTCTTGGAAGACATTGGTGAAGAACATGCAGAAAGATGGGGTAGGCTATTATGTTCATGGGAGGGAGCCACAGAAGACAACCTTGAAGGAAGCAATCCTAAAGAGAGATGAGAGAAAATTTTGGCTAAATTCACTCAAGTCTTACAACCTCATGTCTTTCGATATCAAAGAGGGGGCCACCGTCCATAATATCAGATCCTACAGATATCTGCATTACTAGAAGAAAGACATCAAGAAGTTGGTGGAAGATTTGTTGAGTACAGGTATAATCAGACCTAGTAATAATCCCCATAACAGTCCATTTTTTGGGATAAAAAGAAGGAAAGCGAGTGGCTATTTTTTGGTGACTACCGGGCTTTAAAAAGATCATTGTTCCAAATAAATTTTCTACACCCGTAATAAAAGAATTATTGAATGAATTGAGAAAAGCAAACATACTTTCCAAATTGGATTTAAAATTCGAGTACCATCGAGTTCGAATGAAGGAGGCTAACATCCACAAGACAATATCCCAAACACATGAGGGGCATTACGAGTATATTATGATGCCCTTTGGATTAACAAACACCCCCTCTACGTTTCAAGAACTTCTGAACCAAATCCTTAAACTTTATGTCAGGAAGTTTGTCCTAATTTTTTATGACATTCTGATCTATAGCAGAGATGTGGAGGAGCATACAGAATACATTATAAAGGTTTTACAGATTCTTAGAGAGATCCAACTCGTAGTTAATATAAAGAAGTACTTATTTGGTGAGGAAGTTGCAGCAGATCTCAGTAAGATACAAGATGTGCTGGATTGGTCAGTACCTCAGAATGTGAAAATTTTAAGAGGTTTTTTTTGAACTCACAAGGTCCTACAGAAGATTCATTAAAGGGTACATCAAAATAACCACAACTCTGACAAATTTGTTGAAAAAGGAAGGGTACAAATGGAATTAGGAGGCACCAACAGCCTTTGAACAACTCAAGGGTCCATGACTACTCTCACAGTCCTTGAAGTCTCAAATTGTGATATAACATTTATTGTTGAAATTGACGCTCCAGGAAAGGGAATTGGAGCGGTTTTGATGCAGGAAGAGTAGTAGCATCTATGAGTAGTTAATGAACGTGAGTTAATGGCCATTGTCATAGCAGTTAAAAAATGGAGACCTTATCTATTGGGAAGATGTTCTGTGTCACGCCCCAGACCTACCCGGACACGTCAACAATCCGCCATACAGTATGAATAGTCAACCACAGTCAAGCATATTCATATTCTACTGGGCGTCATGAATATCATTCACACATAGTACATCCATAAACAAACATAATGTAAAATATTCATTAAAGCAGCGAAAACAATATTACGAGTGTTCAAGCCACACTTGGCAAACTTAGGCATACAAGCCCCCAAATAGTTTATCAGAAAATATTATACATGAATATTATTGTAATTTCTTAAAAATGGAAATGGAGGAATCACGAACCACGTCCTCACTCCTAGATCCTTCCTCGAAGCGACAAGTACTTGTAGCAAGCTCAACTTCTACCTGAAACTGTGAGCTGGCCTCCCCTGTGATGGAGAGGTCAGTACTTTGAAGCATTTGAAAAGTACAATGACAACTACACTGTATATAATCGGTGTTCAATTCCTAAGACCCTCAATAGGTTGATATCATAATATAGGTCGTAACCCTAGGTTACTCTGTTTGAAAATATACTAATTTATAAAAAGTCAAGTAGTTGACCCGTGGGCCCGTGTTGATTTTGAAACGTTCTTCCCTATTCCCCGTGACTACTAGTCACGATCATCATAAACCTTAGGTAGGTCACTATGCCTTCATAGGGCTTTACCCTATTACGTTATTGCACCATCATAGAGCCGCACTCATTTATATTACTACACCGTGCTAGATCATCACTCTTAGTCACGCTACATTGTGCTAAAGCCTCACTCTTAGTCACCATTATGACGTGCTAGAGCGTCGCTCTTAGTTACGTTATTTAATCCCTAAGCAAGTTCTATGTCCCTAGTATAACTTAAAGTTCATACATTTCCTGCTTAAAATATCTCTTAAGACTACTTAAGGCACAACTTCTCACAATCCAATTCTTAGGATCAATTCTATAATAGTTCATATTAACATTCCGACTAGTATTTTAATACTAGCCGGATAATTCTTAGAACAACCAAGTTCTTAATTCATGGTCATATAGCCAATTCAAATTGATTTTTCAATACTCATTCATGTATTCTTTACATGAAGTAAAAAGTATATTTTATCACAATGTTTCATAGTTAATTGAACTATCATGTCATCATATTCATAACACATTATAATACATAATTTATTCATAAATTTGAATATCATGCTCTTTTTCCTTCTAGACAATAGTTTTCTCATTTTTAGACATTATTAATCATTAATAATCCATAAAAAACATTTAATCAACTTATGTAATCTTATGAAATCAACTCACTAATTATAAGCAATATAGTCAGTCATCCTCACCTTATGATATGCTACAATAGCTGCCCTTGCTAAGCCCCTTGATCAATCCCCGTTTTAGGCCGATTGAAATGAAAAATATGGGCAGCAGACGAACACCGGGCGGCTTTCACCAAAAGCCGGGCGGCTTTTGCCCTCTGCAATACGGGGCAACTCCTTTTAAGTGGCGGTTTCCGGTGATTTCAACTCTTATTGATTCCATGAATCTTCTTGATAGAGTATATGGCCCAGGGACCCCCGGCCCACAGACTCCTACTTCTCCTGCTCAGGCCCATCAAGCCCAATGAGCACACAAAGCCCAGACATAACGACCCAAGTATCAAGAAACCCACAAATACACATGTAAGTGCCTTCGGCCTCCTCGGCCGAGGGATCCAAATTCCACAGAACAACTTCATTTGAGCATACGAAACTACTGGGAGGAAACAACAGAAATCAGGAGCCTTCGGCTCATAGGCGCCCTGGGCATGAGGATAGCCTTTGGCTACACCGAGCTTTCGGCTAAACAGAGCCTTCGGCCACAGGGGGCCTTCGTCAACAACGTAATCATCGAAGATTCCCTTTGGGGGACAGACAACCACCGCATTTAATGCGGCGTCACATCCACCCATCGCATTTAATGCGGTGCACATGCATATGCCGGTGCCACCCCGATTGAGGTGACCCCTCAACCTATAGATTGTTGACACGTGTACTCTCATCGCATTTATGGATGCTATAAATAGCAGCCCTTATTCACCTTGTAGAGCACGTTGAGTTCATTTAATACATCTGACTCTCTCTCTTACTTGTTTGCTTTGACTTCTCTCTAGTTATTCTCTGCAATAACCCTTCGGATAAGCTACCCTCCGGGTACACTATCCATCACTTCTAAGTTAATTACCACCATTTTATATCAATCTTCTACACTTTTAAACGTGTAGAACCTCTTGCTTAATCCACCATATGATTTCTTTAAAATCATATGAATACATAACTAGTTAAAAGATATCTGTTGGGTTCTTACCTCAACTGTAGCCTTTCCTCTATGGATTTTTCCTTTCTAGCTTCTTGCTTCCTCCAACTATGACTTTGTGACAGCTTTTCTCTTGAGCTTCTTCTCTCCTTGGTTGTTCAAATGAGTGCAAGAATGGTAGAGGAAAGATTGTTCTCTATCAACACAAAATAATTGTGAAGGATATGACATGGGGTATGGATTTTTGTCTCAATGAGACTTCTCACCCACCTTGCACGCCCCTTCCTACTCTCCTTGTCCCCTAAATCTACAATTTTTTACAACGACAATATTTTTCTCAGTTCTTTCTAGTCAAAAATGTTTAGAGTGACACGGACAAAATTAAAATATAGTACTCCTCCGTCCCATTGGACTTTGCCAACTTTCCATTTTTGATTGTCCCAAAAAACTTTGTCACTTTCCAATTAAAGCAACTAATTTGTGGTTATGCACATTTCTCTCCTCTGCACAAATCTCAATCATACAGTTTTCACTATTCTTATTTCTCACTTACTTTGCACTTGACAAAGTTCACTGGGGCGGAGGTAGTACAACAACCACCCAGAGATGGATGGGCGTACGGAGGTGGTAAATCGATCTGTCGAAACCTACTTGAGAAGCATGACTGGGAGTAAGCCTAAACAGTGGCCCAAATGCTGCCTTGGGCAAAATAGTGGTACACCACCAATTTCCATTCTCCACTCAAAAACACTCCTTAGAGGGCCTTATATGGACAAAATCCTCCGGCACTAAACAAAGGAGATATCACCCTAACCGCCATAGAAGAAGTGACTAAACTTACAATTGAGAGAAACTTAATGATAGTTAAAGTGAAAGATAATATATCCAAGGCTCAAAACCTAATGAAGCAGCAATATAATCAGAAAAGGAGGACATAACAGTTTGAAGTGGGAAACCAAGTTTATCTAAAGATTCAACTCTACATATGAAGGAGTCTCGCCAAGAAACTCAATCAAAAACTAAGCCCCGAGTTTTATGGGCCCTTTGAAGTAGTAGAGAAAATAAATCCAGTGGCATACAAATTAAAACTTCCTGATACCTGCACCCTAAACCTGATATTCCACGTATTGCTTGTGAAGAGGGAGGGCACGAGCTCCTAATATCCAAAGTCAACCTCTTCCTGCGTGTTTGAATGAAGAACGGGAGTTGCAGGCGCAGCGAGAAAAGATTAAAGAGGGCATAGTCAATGAAGTAGGAGAACAAGAGATGTTGATCTACTAGAAAAGTTTATCAAAGTTTGAATATTCCAAGGAAGAGCTCCAGAAGTTCCAAAAAAAATTCCATGAATTCCACCTTGAGGACAAGGTGTTATTCAAAGGGGGAGTGATGTTAGGACTTTGGGTGATTTCAATATTATGAATCTCAATAGGAATTTCCCTCACGTGTATGTCAAGAGGGCTAGGGCTACATAGGAGAAATAGGGGAATAACTAATTAGCTAAGAAGAGGGGGAGCAATGTAAGGGGAATAAATAGTTTGGTGAGGAGATAAGCTGGTATTAATGTGGAAATTCGTGTGTTCTATCATTCATCATCCTATCCTATTTATTACAAATCATTTAAAAATGAGGTAAATGGATTAACAGCTCATCCACTTCAACACCCAAGATTTAATCTTGACAGACCGCAAAGCATATTATGTTCAAATTTAACATCAGTTTAAGCAAGAGGACCAGACCGATCATGCTTTAACCCAGTCAAATGATCATAGAAACAGATGGTAAACTTAAGGATAAGCCAAATACACAAAACATGAGATTTTTAGTAGTATTGTCTCATTTATTGTATTCAAATAACACGATCACGTGGAAAGTATTACGCTGTAAAATTTGTTAACGTTGCAGTATAATAGAAACTCAAATAGACATTTGATTGTAAAAGAAGATGCCGCAAAATTAAAGTGAAAAAAACTCATCACAACATGGGTCACGGAAAAAAATCCCACATCAGAAATCAAAATTTTTGTTTACGTGGTATGAAGAACCCCCCGCCAGCTCTCGTTTTTTTCGAGCCCTCTTATCACCATTCATTGGCCTGAACAACCTTTTCACTTCAATTTCTGCTTGGAGGGCAGATTTCAGCTGTTTTAAATGCAAAAAACATTGACCATGGCAACAAACAGATGCTGTCTGGGTAACAACATGTGGATCCTCGGGAACAAATTTTCTTTGATATGGAGATGACCCCCACTTTGCTTGAAGGTAAGCATAGGATCTCCATGGAGGAATCGGCATTGAGTTCTGCTTGAGAGAAGATTTGGCAGCTTCAACCATGACTTCAAGGAACTGCTTGAGCTTCGGTACTGGGCCCACGTAGACGATTGGGACAGAACTCAGGATTCTGTCATACGACTGGACTGCTCTGGCGATTTCAAAGTGGCTGCGAAAGTCAATGTCAATGATCAAACGCTCTGAGCCTCCGGCTTCATTGAACTTGATAACGTCAATGTATTCATGATCCCCTAAATCATATAGAAAGGGTCAGTTAGATTATCCAGATAAGTAAGCATATTTACAGAGTACATAGCAATTTAGTTCTTCAAACTAGTTATAGAAAGATGTATTCAAAAAAATTCAGGCTGCTTCGCCAGATAGGTGGATTTTGATATGGCGATGCAATTGGCCATCAGTAGTGCCCCTCACACCTCCCATACAAATTCTCACCGCTGTACAACTTTTTTCCCTGGTTTTCTTGACCATGTAATGTTCGTTTTCAATATTTTCCTTGAAAATGTTTTCAAATTTTCCCGTATTGGAAGAGATCAACAAAAGAACGTGTTTGGCCATGAAAAATGTTTGTCCTTGATTCTTTGACATTAGTGGGAATTGACTTCTCGTTGTGAGGTAATTCTCCTACAGTAGAGTTTTATGTTTTCTATTTGTGGATCCAACTTAATATTATACACAGAGCATCTTATGTTCTAACAAAATATTCTCCGCAAGTTATATAGCTGTAAACAAACGGACCCTGAACTCAAAAGCACCAAGGATACAATCCTTTAAAGCTTCAACTCACACTGCACTGGTTTAGCAAACAGACCCTTGCGCTGTTGATACCCAAAATATCATCACTCTAGAAGTAAAAGCAAATCAAGAGCATTATAAAAGAGGGTACGTACCTGCAGGAACCTTGCCATTGCCAAGCCACTTGGAAGAACAAACACCAGAATCATAGCCCAAAAGCCTCAAGAGCTTCACAAGAGAATATTTGATGCAGCTAGAATTGCAAGGGCCTGACTTTACAGCATGGAGCTCTGTTTCTTTCATTGATGTCAAAAGTGAACTCACTATAGACAGCAGCTTGCTCTCATACTGATCCACTGCCTTCTTGATGTACTGCACAGAAAATAAAAAAATGATGCAGTGAGATTTTGTTTATTAAGTAAATGTATTATAGTTCGCTTACATGAACTAACATTAATATCTAATTTTTTCTATATTCTTTGGGTAAGGGTTAAATTGATTGGAGGCGTAAACAACATACTCCCTCCGGCCCAAATTGTTTTACAAAGTCAACATTTTTTGGTCAAACAATAATAAAAGTTAATGCTCCCTATCGATAATTAATTCAATTTTTAATAATTAAAATTTATATACTCAGAAACTACATTAGAATTTCTTCAAAGTTCTAAACTCCAAATTAGAATGCAATTAAAAATTGACATTGACATCCTAATTAAGCGAATAAAATGAAACAGTTTGACCAAGAAAAGTCAATTTTGCAAATCAATTTGGAACGGAGGTAGTATTAATTTATATATACTACATATTATTTTATTATTTTATCCAAACAGGGTGGACAACTTGAGGGTATGGAACAACATTGATAACCTATTAAGACTTGAAGTTTATCTAAAAAGGTTAATCTAATCGAAAAAGTATAAAAAAATCTCATATATATAATATTAATTTATTGTTCATAGTGATTTTATTTGTTAAAACTGCATTTTCTTTGTTTTTTACTAAAGAGATATCAGACATAAGTTACAATATACTTCGTACTACGTATATAAGTTTTAGTATGCCATGGCACCAACTGGTACCAAGTACCAACTGGCACTGATCTGGCACCAACTGGCACTGATCTGGCGGCCCATGACTACCTAGTTGTTTGTAGGACCATGAGCCTGTATAGACTACTGAATCTATCATAAAATAACGCCAAAAACAGGTTGCCTTGGAATCTGGTGAAAATAATTTAATGAAAAAAGGAAAGGGGTAAAAGAGCATTGAGTATGTTTATCAGTTTCAATTCAACCTTCTATAAATGCTGAATTCAGCATTCCTTTGTTGAATCCTATTAAAGGTGGAACAATATTGCAGCAGAACATTCCCATTCCAGAATGGCAGAAGTCAAGTCAAATATGAGAACCATTCAATCTAAAGACTCAACCATAGTCCCATAGTCTCTTAGGTAGAAAGTATATAAGCGGAGTATATCATTTCCACCAACCAAGACTCGAACATAAGGCATTTTTGTATCCCCAAAAATGGTAGGGGAAGGGTGAAATGCTTATTACCTTACATAAGGGGAAGGAAATCAAAATATGATTATGCTTAATCACTTTTTGACGTATATTTAGATGTCAAAAGGTTTATATAATATAAATACATAAATAAAACCAGCATATATCATTGAGTTTAAGCATTTATTTTATTTGATTCGGAATTTCCAATCATGCCGACTAATTTAGAGTACATGTCTTGTTTCGTAATATTTATGTGATCCAAACAAAACCAAAAGGCTTCACATTGTAATCGACCAGTTTTAGATTTGAGGCGGGTTTTTTTCTCTCCTTTACAGCCGAATAATGAACATTGGACGGTTGGACAATCCCACATGACCATTGGGTTGTTGGATCCCAGTAGTCTCAGTCGTACGGCTGGTGTTAGTACAAGAACATGTTACTTGTTCTGAAGCTCACCGCTCATCCAATTCCAAATTTAGACAACCATTTACCTAATGTGAAGGTGTTAGGGGTTTTAAAATTTCAAACTTGAACGCGTTTGCAGCTAGGTATGGAATAATCAAGAAGAAATTATTCACTAGAAAACATAACAACGAGATTAACTCCGTAAATAATAAGTAAAAGGATTCAATTCAAAAGGAAAAGTTCTTAATAAGGATGAAGATGAGAAAAATTACTGACGGATAACTTGTCTGCAAGGTGAGCGAGATCGGAGAAGCTGGAATCGCTGTCGCTGCTACTCCTGGAATCCGTACCTAAGCTTCCATTTTCCAGAAAATCTCTCACCATCGCAGCCAAATCATTTTCACTGTCGTGGCTGAATCCATCCGCCACCTGCACCAAACCTCCCACATCACCACCACTTGCTCCGCCGCGGCCGGCCAGTTTCAACCACGGGTCCCCTGGCGAAGCACAAACCCCACAGTTCATTGCAATACCAGCACCACCAAAATTTTCTCTCTGTTTCCCCTTTCGGGAATGAATTCAATATATGTCCAGCGAATTCAATGATTCAAAATTCAAAAACAAAAAAAAAGTTAGAAACCTAAAATATCCCCCAGAATTTCGATCCCGAACGAACAACTTGAAAAAAGTTGGGCTTCAGGATTTCCACGGATCAATATCGGCTCAATCGAATTCGAAGTATCTAAGAAAATCTAAAACGTGGAAAAATTCAATCATTAGGCTCTCCGAAGCCCTAGTTTTTAGATGGAACGGAATCAAATTTGCTGAATTGCACCCGGGAATGAACGAACGGTACCAATTGATACATAAAGACTTGTTTACAAAAAAAAACTGATCAATTGGAGCCGGAGGTGAGTGAAACGAGGAAATGGTGATTAAGAAAACAAGGAAAGCATGAATGATCCGGAGGGGTGAGACGAAAAAAGGGAAGACTTCTGATTTCTGCAACTCCCAGAGGATGAAGAGGATGGGGAGGGAGAAGAGTTCAAATAGAAATTGAGACGGGCATGGGTGAAGGGACGAAAATGCCCTTTTGCCTTGCGTATTCAGAAAGAAAACTCGTCGCTTTTCACGGGATCCGCGGGGAAAGATCGTCCTGCGGATAAACTTACTCTAAAAAAACCTCTCCGACAACAGAATTTAAGTCCACACGCTACAGCTATTCACACACGAATATGGAATAACTTTAAGATAAGTACTCCCTATTTTTTATTACCACCCTCCTAAATTATTTTTGATCAAATGATCATACCACCCTATTTTTTTTGGGAGATTTACCTATCAAAACATGGTTTTTTTCCCAAAATAGGACCAATTAGTTTAAACATTCTTAAATACGACTTTTTATGTGTGATTGGACCAAAATACCCCCACTGCTGCCCCTGGACCTCCGGCCAGCCGCCAGCCGCCAGACCTCCGGCCACCGCCGTCGCCACCGCCGTCGCCGCCGCCCGAGCACCGCCGGAAAATTCCAAAAAATATCTGGCTGACCGCCAGATTCTGCCGCCGCCACCTCCGCCGCCGCAATGGTGTTTATCAGAATTTATTGTTTATTTATTGTCTACTTATTGTCTATTTATTGTCTATTTAATGTCTGTTATTTTCTTGCCGCCGCCGGAAACCGCCGCCACTGCCGCCACCGCCACCGGAAACCACCTCTTCCGCTGCCGCCGAGCTGCCGCCACCTCCAGACTGCCTTGGTTGTGCAAGGAAACTAGGGGGCAATTATTTAGATCAATTAATTAATTAAATAGAATTAGGGATAAAAAAGGTAAGGTTAGTCCTATTTAGAGAAAAACATCCATGTTGTCCTATTTTGAGAAAAAGGTTGAGTTTTAGTCCTATATTGGACAATTTTCTCTTTTTTTTTTGGAATAACTTTAAGATAAGTACTCCCTTTTTTTTATTACCACCCTCCTAAATTATTTTTGATCAAATGATCATACCACCCTATTTTTTTTTTGGAATAACTTTAAGATAAGTACTCCCTTTTTTTTTATTACCACCCTCCTAAATTATTTTTGATCATACCACCCTTCTAAATTATTAATAAAATGAAATATTTCCTCCTTTTGTTTACAACATTGATAGTTTTGTGTTACTCGTATACTTTAATTTGTTTATAATTTTCTATTCCCTCCGTTTCACAATCTTTGACATAGTTTGACTTGTCAAGAATTAAGGAAAAAATGTTACTGAGGAATAAATTTTACTGTAGAGTACACTGTTTGGCACTGTTTGAACACTGTTTGGCACTGTTTTGCATTGTTTTGGTAAAGATTTTGATGGATAGCCTACCCGGGGGTATGTATCCGAAGGGTTACTTCGGGGAGTAACTAGAGAGAAGTCAGAGCAAGTAAGAGAGAGAAAGTGTATTGAATATATGAGTTCAAAGTGTATTCCGAATCTGGTTTACAAAGGGGAAATGGGGTGCTATTTTTAGTAGCAATAAATGCGAGACGGGGACACGTGTCAAGCATCCAACGGTCGAGGGGTCACATCAACCGTGTGTCACTGGCATTCGCATGTGGCCGCATTTAATGCGGTGGTTGGATGTGACGTTGTACTTGGTACGGCGACCCAGGCGCATGTGGAGAGTATATTCTTGTCGAGGAAGGTACCCTCGACTGTAGATGATTAGCCGAGGGCTCTTCCTGTCGAAGGCCCCTTTAAGGCCGATGGCTCCAGGTGCCGAGGGCTACTGTTTTTTGCCGTTTTCTCCGAGTAACTTAGCTAAAAATAGCCTTTCTGTGAGTATTTGGAGCCTTCGACCAAGGGGCCGAAGGCACTCCCAGTGTGCATTGTCGGTTGCTTGGTACTCGGGGCGCTGTGATCTGGGCCTGTTGTGCTTACCGGGCCTATTGGGCCTTGATTTGAGTAGTAGGAGTCTATGGGTCGGGGTCCCTGGGCCATATACTCCATCACGAGTCCATCACTCCTTTTGCTGAAAGGTACTTGAGAGAAAAGGAGTAATTGTGTTTGTCCTCTGTCGTTGTTCCGTTGTAGTTTGTAAAGTTGTGAGTAGTTCGTTGTTTGCATGTTTCTGCCGAGGGAAGTCCCTCAGTTACCCACATTCCGGGACTTGAGGGATCATGTTTGTTGTTGTGGGAGTGTTTTTTTTTATATCTTTGTATTTTGAGATTTTTCCCGAAGGGGTCCTCCAGTCCCCCACTCCTTGAGGCACTTGTAAAGTGGTGAGAAGGAGTAGATTAGTGCTTGCCTGCAATATGGTGCCGAGGGGTGACGTTTTTCGTTTCATTTTGGGGGAATGCCTCGTTAAAAACCTCATTAGAAAAACCAATGTGGGAAAAAATTCTAATGAGGGAAAAAGAGTGCACCGAATCCCCCCAACGATGAGTCGAAAAGGTGAAACCCTGGTCTGAAATGTGTGGCAGTACTCTTGCCGAAGGCTATCCTTGTCTGAGGGCGCGTGTGTTGCTTTGCCGAAGGCGCGCTTGTTGATATCCTGGGAGATGGTGAAGGGGAGCCCTCAGTTCATGGGAATGAAGGCGCGGTGAATGTAGGTGATATTTCTTGTGTTATCGAGGGGTCCCATGTTTGTTGATAAGTTGAGGGCCGTGGTACCCCGGGGGGTTTCCTTGTTGTGTAGCCAGGGGTAACTGTTGATGAAGGTGTGCTCCCCGGGGGTTACGTGGTCCTCAATGTGTTTGAGGGCTGAGTGTTCTCGAGGGGTGTGCCCGTTGTGAAGCCGTGGGCTTCTGAAGGAGTGAGCCCGAAGGCACTTGTGATGTAGTATGAGGGGCACAGGCCGGGAGCACCTCTGGATAAGTGTACCTGGGAGCTCCTCTTGATGATGTGGAGTGAAGGAGAAAGCCCGGGGGCTAGTTTTTTGGTTGATGAAGGAGTGGCCTGCTGAGGGCGTGCCCTTAGGTTCCCTGAATATAGCCGTTGTAATATGACCGTTGGAGGGGGAGTACACGTGGCACGTGGCCGTTGGCTGCCCGCGGGCGGGCGTCACTGATTGGGTGAAACGACGGTATGTAATGATGATTTTGTAACCGGAGGCCCGGTTTTTGGGCCCAAGCCCAGATCTGGGCACCTATAAATACCCCATGGCCAGGGCCATTTTCCTTGCGCGATCACACTGTAGCGAAGCTCTGGCCATTTGGTTTCTAGAGAGAGAAAATCCCCTTCGGTCAACCAAGTGTTCAAGGTCAGTTCCTCCCTCGTTTCTCCTTCCAGCTGCATACTTAGTTTTTCCTGCCTTAGGTTAAGTGCTAGGGTTGGTTAGGAAGCCTTCGTCTTTTAGCCTTCGACCTTTAGTTTCGAGAATGTCATCTGCAAGCGATTCGCAAGACATTTCGAGGGAGCCTTCAGTTGAGGCGGAATCTTACTCTGACGTTGAGCCTTCGAGCGAGGAGCCTTCGGTGGGTGATGATGCTGCTGTGGCCATGAAGGTGGAGAAGGACCTCAGGTCCAAGGTCGAGGCCGAGGACTTTGAACAAGTAAACGAGGACGAAGAGCTGGCCCTCGCCGTTCAAGTAGCTGAGCAGGAGGAGCAAAAAGAGAGGATGAAGGTCACCGTTGTTGTTCTTCCCCCTCGCGATGCAGGTGAATCCAGCACCTCTCGGCCCTTGAACCCGACGCCCCTCAGGGTTGCTCCGGGAAAGAAGAAGAAAACGAAGGTTGTCGTTCCCAAGAAGAATGGTAGCATTGCTGACCAGGGAAGGCCCATCGATCTGCCCGAGGGCTATTCCTTCTTAAATACTGCCGCCCTCGAAATCAAGTCAAAGGCTGATGTGGCGGAATGTTATGTCACACAATTGCACGTGGGGCCCTCGGGTACTGTGATAATGCCGGGACCAGATGACCTCCTCTCTCGGGCTCTCGAAGGGTGTATAGCGGTGCATATCCTCTCGGTCGCCATGGGCCTCCGGTTCCCCTTGCACCCATTTCTGCGTGAGTACCTTCGGTATGTAGGTTTGCTTCCTTGCCAACTCACGCCCAACAGCCATTCCTACATCACCGGCTTCCTTCACCTCTGCCGAACCCGGGGGGTGGCCCCCAGCTTGGACCAATTCTTCCAGAGCTTCAATCTCTGTCGAGGGGGCCATGCAAACGCCGAGGGGTTTGTGAATCTGCAGCAGGTAGCCCAGTGGAAGTTGTTCACCGAGGCGCCCTCCTCAAACAAAGGCTGGAAGGAGCGATGGTGCTACGTCAGGCTAGCTGAGAGCCCCTTCCCGAGGGAATTGCGGGACCGTTTCAGGTGGCATGAGAAGATAAGAAGTGCCGCCCTCGAGAAAGATGGCGTGAAGCTCGCCAAGATCCCGGAGGGGCGCAACAAGAACGTGATGATCAAGGAGTGCACCCTCGAGGAGGATCTCTATGCCCTCGGCTTCAGGCGGTACCGCTACCTGGGGGAGATAGATGAAAAATTCCCTCTCCTCGATCAAGCCTTCGAAGGTGCCTGAGTTTTACACTTAGGAAATTTTCTTAGTACTTTTGACATTGGCTAATTATTTATTGTTGTCTCACAGGTGCCAATATGGACGCAGGGAAACTCTTCACCCTGAAGAAGAAGAAGGGCAAGGCCCAGGCTCAGAAGAAGGACCCTTCGGGCCAGCAGCCCGTTGAGGCCTTCTTTAAGAAGGAGATACCGGAGCCCTCTGCTGTGGCTGCCGTCGCTGATGTGGCCGGGGGGCCACGAAGAAGAAGAAGGGCAGCAAGGGGGTAGAGCCCCCTGCCAAGAAGCAGAAAGGTCTCGGGGATGTTGCTGAGAAGGCGGGCCCCGTAGTGATCATAGAGGATCATTCCTCTCCCGAGCCCCCGGTGGTCACCGCGGTGACAGCTCAGACGGACCTTCCCCGGGGGACTTTCCCCGGGAGGCTTTGCAACTCTCCCTTGCTTCGGGAGCTTCCGTGATGCACGTCTCGGCCGAACCGAAGGCGTTCCTGAGGGGGATCACTTCGGTGATGGATAAGGCGGCCCTCTCGACCTATGACGACGAGGCCCTCGAGAGCAAGATCTTCCGATCTTCTCTAACTGTAAGTTTTTTCACTCGTCCTTGTTTTAACACTTAATATATTTTCAAATTTCGTCTAAATCTTTTGTTCGTTGTTTAACAGGCTTGCATAGCCCTCGAAGAGCATGCACGAAGGCTCGAGCAGTGGCGCCTCCACAAGGCGGAGC